AACCGAAAGCACTGTATCGAACGGTTCAATATCGATACGAGTATCGTTGCACCCCTAATTGAAATGTATTCATCATTTCATCATTTACAAAAATAGCCTCTAATATATTTGTTGTGTATATCAGTAATGATTCTTGTAGCAGTACAAAGTCATTAAGCATTAGAATATTTAGCCAGATGTGTATTGGATATGCTTACTTGGGTTTGTATAGGTTAGATGTTAACAGATGCGAATATCTGGGAATCACCAGATTTAAGCATATAGCAGTGTTGGTGACACAGACATCACTGGGACCCGACTACACTGCCTTTAGTGCAGCCCTCAAACGTGTGAATTGTCTTTTCTTTCCCTAGTGAGGAGCTGAAGCTGGCATCCCACAAGTCTCAGCATCCTGATGAGGTATTGACCTTTTTAACTTTCTTATTATGTAAATGCTTTTCCTTTATCCTGTTAGAGATCAGGGTTTTGGCCTAATGAGGTTTTATCTCCTGCTGTGACTAAATTGTTGAAGCTAAGACGGGTTTAGATTCTATTTAAATACTTCTATATTTTGTCTGTGTGTGTGTTTACGCCTCAGCACAACGAGGATCGCAGCAGTCAGCAGCCAGACATGAAGACCAGGTTAGATACTATGAAATATGTGCTTCAAATTTTGAATGTTGATTTTCTGACTTTTTAATATATTTTCCTGTTTAGTTTTTAAACATCGAACATAGAATGTTATAGTGTTTGTCACTGTATCTCTCAGTAATTCCTCTGCTGATGCATCTAAAACTGATGTAACAACCTATAAAAGACTACAGCCAACATCAATAATGATGTCATATCTTTCATTTTTTAGCAAATAACCATTTAACTCATTTTTAAAAAGTGAAAAATTAGTTGTTTCCCAAAGATGAGAGGCAGCACCAAATTCCTCTATAACATAAATAATCATTAATTGATATGAATATGTATGAAAGTATGACTCATGCAACCCTAGTTTAGTAGAGTTCAAGAATACAATGAACTCAATGTGAAAATGAACACACTTGGTCCCCTTTAACTCTTCAACTATAAACTAGCACAACACAGTAGCTATAACAACAAGCAGCTAAACAAAGATGCACACAAAGCCATCAAAACAACACTAAACAGCTTCTGAAGTCATTATCAGGAATGACCAGAAATAAAACCACAGTAATGTTTTCATTCCTTAAGTGCTGGTTGATTATTCCAGTATTGACATTAGGAGATTGATTCCTTTGGAGATTTGGAGGGTAGCTTTAATGTGACGTGGTTCCTCTAATGGGACCCCCTTCTGTACTTACACACATCCCTCTGTTGACTGCTGGACTGTTTTTTCTTATCAGAGATGAGCCAGTGTTACATCTGTATTGTAGTCCTGGTAACAGAGCTGATGAAGAGCTAAAGTGTGAAACTTGGTGTGAAAGTCTGTAGATAAAAATCCTAATCTCCCTGGTTGTAATTTGCTGGTTTGTTGCTGAAGGTTTAATTAAAGACTGGGAAAAAAGAACTATATTAAGAGATTGTAACCAAGTAACTTGCTGACTGATTGTTGGCTCCAGCTTCATACTCGGTCAACAGCTATGAGTGCAGGATTGATCTCTGATCATCAGGATATAAGAGGCTGTGTGACCAATGTCATTTTTGCACATCTGGATGTTTTCTTCAGAAAACAACTAACTTTAAGAAGTTTTTATCAGAGTCAACTGGTAATTTTATACTTGCCGTTTTTATGTCCTGTTCATCACTTAAAATTGAGATTATTAGAGATTAGTTTTAAAAAAGTGCTTCAAATAACTCCCCACATAACTGAGAGGAGAGGTTTTAAGATCACTCCTGAGGAGACAGACTTGCATCTAGAAAGACTTGATTGCTATCTATTTGAGAGACTCACTATGAACAAAGTCCTCCTCCAGTCATTATCTTTCATATTAATGTTCTGGTCAAACGACCAGGGGCAGCATAATGCTGGGATCCTTGGCACTGTGCCTCACAGCAAAAATGCCCTGGGTTTGAAATAACCGCCCAGTTTGGCTGTCCAGTGGTGTATGCACGATCTACATGTGACTGCATGGGTTCTTTCCAGGTGCTCAGTACAAAAACATGCACATGAACTTGTCATAAACGGTCCTAGGTGTGAAAGGTTGTCTATGTATCTGCATTAGTCCTGTGAGGAACCTGGTGATCTGTCCAGGGTGTAACATCCCTTTGGTCCCATGAAAACTAGGATAGGCTCCAACCAACCCTGAAGTGGATAAACCGTTAAGAAAATGGAAGGATTGTACAGCATAGAGTATAAAAAATAAATAAATGGACAAAGATATGACTATTACAAAAGCAGAAGAGCAACCTCTGAATCTTTCAGATCATAAGGCATAAGGGCACTATTTGTTTAAATAAAAAAAGAAACTCAACTGAATATCTTTGGATATTAGACAGTCAGGTAAACCAAGCAATATGAATATGTCACTTTGGGATTTAGTTCCAGGCCACGTTGCATTAGTACTGTGTTTTTTCTTTTAGTCTTCCCAGATTTGCTCTTAGTTGGATAACATTTGATTTTTTTTAAAATGTAATTTTAGTTCCTTCATCTATTCACTGTGACGCTGTTTGGTCTTATTTTAAGCCTTGTCTAAGTCTTGAAACAAAAGAAGCTGTGAATATCACTTCTGTGGCCCTGTGCCAGTCATAAACATAAACACTGTGTTTTTAGTGATCAGGATATTAAAACATCCCACCACTTATGGAAACCAGTGACTTAAGTTCCGAGTGAAAGGCACAGTCTAACATCAAAGACAAATATGTGGTGTAAGATCAGAGTGAGGATCAGAGTGAAGTGAAGTCAAAAAGATGTAAGATGTAAAGATGAACTGGCAGCTCTGCAGTTTTGGCTCGAGGGGAATGGCAAGGTTGCATACAATTAGAGCAGAAATAATAGATGTGGCGGGAGAGAGTGTTTTCAAGTAAACATTATGAGACATGAGAGATGATTCAGTGAAACAAACTGCTCTCCTTCTCTTTGGTTTGTCAAGACTGCTGGAATGGATATGTTGCTGGAGTGTCAGCTGGTTGCCACTATTCTGTTGTAAGTGTTTTTTGGCAATCGGCGATAAAATCTGCTAAAATACAGCTAAGATGGTTATTCAGGTGCTACATTTTTAAGACTCTGAAAGCCCCAGTTTACATGGGAAATATTAAAGTTCATGACAGCACGATTACTGCACTTGTTCGGAGGGGTTGCCAGAAGAAAGCTTCTCTCTATAAAGAGAGCTTTCCAAAGTTGCATATGAACAAACTGCAAAACTTCTGGAACAATGTCCTTTGGACAAATGTGAGCATAGTCAAGCCAAGTCAAGTCATTTTTATCTATATATCACATTTTTCAAACAACAGAAGTTGAACCAGTGCTTTACTGAAACACTTATTCGCCAGGTCTCCAAGTACTAAGTTCTAAAACTGGTAAAAACAATTACAAAACACAGACCTCACATGGCAACATGAGAAGGATAATAACTCATTCCCAACAATGGTAAAAAAAATGATTCAGGATTCAGAAGACTTTATTTATCCCCAAGGGGCAATTAAGAGACTGACCTTGCCGACCGTACATACAATACACAAACATCACATTGGGGAGACAGGTCAGGCTAGGTAGCTGGCCGGTTAGCCGCACAAGCAGCGACCCGGAACCGAACAACAATGGAAAATGCACAACATGAGGAAAGACGAGGAGAAAAAAAGAACTTCCCCCAGACTGAGCTCCAACAGGGAGATCAGTTTGAGAACAGAAAAAAACACCTCAGCACATGAATCATCACATCTCACAACATGGAAGACATAAGCTTTTAAGGCGTATGGAGGGGGTGGGGTGGGGGGGTGAGTGTAGGTCTGTGTCGGTGTACATGCGTATATGTGCATCGGTGTGTTTGTGTTCCGTGTTCAACCGAGAGAAAGTGTCCCTTCACCTGGTTAAGCAAAAGTCAACAATCTTCGGTCGACGCGGGTGACCTTGAATGAGGAGGGAGAGAGTCATAACAAACAGTCTTATTATCTAGGGAGAATTGTTATGAGCATCCAGCTGGCGCCAGGGGGGCCACATGAGATGAAGATGGTAGTTGTTTTGGTTAGTGCGAACAAACTGCTTCCAATTTTACAGTTGGTCTAATGTCCGTCACTGGTCACCAGGTCTCTCAATTCCCGTTGTTCTTCTTCAAGATGTTATCCATATTGCGTTTAAAAAAAAAAAAAAACACACAGTCTGAGTACTCACAGCCCTGCCCATCGTCTATCATGTCGGCAACCCTTGTGGTATTTTGAACAGCTGTAGCCGCTTCTTATTCTTCGATAAGCCAGGTCCAAGCCAGCTCCAATCAGCTAGAACTCTGTTACCGTAGTTCCAAATTGGTAGATGTCATTCAAAGTCCTCCATCGAGAGTGTTGCCAGACACACGACACAACCAACCATCGAGTATCCGGCAGCAAACGTCTCTGCAGGACAATCGGGCTCTCCCAAGCCCAGGAGGGTGTCAATTCCGTTAAGGGACCAGTTGATCAAATCCATAATTCTTCTTTATGTTTTTAGAGAACAAGTCTGGGAGACTCTCTTAGGGTTAGAGAATAAGCAAGACTATACGAAAGACATGAGAAGCCAAGCAGGAAAGATAAGGGAGAAGGAGAAAGTGCGACCGCCTCCGTCAAGCGACTGAGATGTGTCAGTAAAAGCTTGAATATAAAAAAAAACATTTATTCCAAATAGTCAAGAACAACATTTAATGGTAGCTCTAAATAATTTTGATTGGACTAGCATACTATCATGTGATGACACTAATAAATATTCTACTATAAAAGGGGTCTTGTCACAGTTTCAGAAAGAGAGCCATTTAAAGAAATGAGTTTATTCCTTGCCTTGGATAAATACTGAGTGTAAACAGCTTATGAGAATCAAAGACCAGTTACTTAAAAAATCGTTACAATCTGGATTAAATACCGATCGATTAAATTTTATATCTGCAAGGATTAAAGTCACACAAACTTTGAGAATTGCAAAAGCAATTTTTTTTCATGACTAATTAATAGTGCCAAAGGAAATTGTAAGCTAATTTGGGAAAATATTAACAAACTCCTTGGTAACAGTAAGCATAATGCTGATAAAGACCTTGAACTTAAATTTGCCAGTGAACTGGTATCAGAGCCTCTCAGCCTCGCTACTAAATTAAATGATTTTTTCCTTTCCATTACCAAGTACCATTAATGAAATTGCACAATTGTTTTCTAATTCTTGTGACCTTCAACAAAATATTGGGAATACCGACACCAAAGAGGATGTTTCTTCTCAAGATTCAAAGTTCAATATTCAGAAAATGAAGTAGAAAATATAATCTCTAAATTAAGAAGTTCTAAAGCAAGGGATGAGTTTGGATTTGATACCAGTTTCTTGAAGCATTATAAATCTTGTCTTTTGGTGCCTGTGACCCATCTTATTAATTTATCAATCACACAGGCAGTTGTTCCTCTGAGTTAGAAGGTGGCAAAAGTTACACCAATTTAGAAATCGGGTGATAAATCAGACCCTGCTAATTATCGATCTATTAGCATACTCCCTATCTTTTCAAAGATAGCAGAAAAATGGGTTGCTAATTCTATCATCGAGCATCTTAATGACTCCAATTAGTTGTGCAACGGATCAAATATCTCATGGTTTGGATCGGATTACAGTTTTAAGTCACGGATCGGATCAATTTTCGGATCAGCAAAAATAGAAAAAAAAGACAGAAATTTGACTCGCCATTTACTTATTTAAGTATTTTTTGCCTATTAAAAAACATTCAACTCAAGACTCATTCCACGCACTTATATAAAAATAAATTAGGATGCAATATGGACATTATGGACAGTGCTGGGTATCCTCTGCATCCTCTGCACACGGCCATAAACAGCCAGAGGAGTCTGTTCAGTGAGAGGTTGCTTCTCCCAAAGTCAAGGACGAGCAGACTTAAAAACTCCTTTGTCCCACACGCCATCAAACTGTTTAACTCCTCGCTGGAGGGGAGAGGGAGGGGAAACGAGGACAAAGGAGGGGGGAACAAGTAAGCTGTAGTGCCTTTTCCCTGTGCAATAGTTTTTGTTAATATCCAACGGTGTAATAGACGCACAATACTTGAAATGTTCCGTTCCCTTGCATTCTTATTCCTATTTATTCTATTTATCCCTTTTGTATTCTCTGTATTTATATATGTGTATATGTGGTATATTTCTGCTCACATTCTCCAACTTCTGTCGGTGCTGTGCTACTGGAAACTGAATTTCCCGGAGGAACCCATGGGATTAATAAAGTTTCATCTAATCTAATCTATAGGGCAGTACAGGGCTTTGTATCTACCACTCCGCTGTGATATAATGAGCGGTCACCGCCACGTGGCTTTCCGTTGCCCTGGAGGTCCACCCATTTGTAGTTAGGGCAACAGAAGATGCCTGGGATAGTTCAGCCGCAACTGCAGCTAAACACCCCAATAGTTTTTGTAATAGCTGGAGCCCGGTCGGATTGGGCAGCAAAAGCTGCTTAAATTCCGCAAACTCCTCTGCTCCTCCACTTGGACCGCTAGCGGTGGCCATAACTACCGCTTGACAGACTGACCACCACACACATATTTTCTTTTCTTCTTTTTTGAATCTTCGGATCACGTGCGTGCCGAACCGTGGAGTGGGATTGGTTCGGATTACGGATCAACCGTGATCCGTTGCACCACTAACTCCAATCCGGGTTTACACCCTATGCAATTCGGATTTTGCACTCTTCATTCAACTGAAACGGCTGTTTTTGTTGAGAGAGTGAAATCTTACTTAGACAAGAGCAGTTATGTTACAGCTGTTTTTCTTGATTTCAAGCGTGCGTTTGACACTGTGAATCATCTTAAGCTCTTGTCTAGACTGTCAACATTTAACATTAGTAATCACACCGTTAAATGGATACAGTCTTATCTATCAGATAGAAAACAATGCGTGCAAATAAAGAATAGCAAGAAACTGGAAATAAAAAATCATCTCACTCTTTACTCCTTGTACACATTTTTCTGCAGAGAAATTGTCTCAAATGTGGAATCAGAGGGGGACACAAACTTCCAGAAATCCACTGGAGCCTTAATCTCAGACAAAGACCGGGAATTAGAAACTCTGAGGAAAGAGGTACTCACGCTCAACTTACAGTATCTTGGACACGCTACATTTGTCCTGTGTAATGCCAAATATGTAAGGTATTTGTCTGTCTCTATCGGCAGATTGCGGTGCTGCGAGGAGAAAACGCCATGGCCAAGACCCTGCAGTCGGCCGTGGAAACGCTAGAGAGAGACAAAGCTCAGCTGCAGAGCCGCGTTCACAGTCTAGAGCAAAGGCTTATGGGAGCACAAGCCTCGGAGGAAGGAGACAAGGAACTCCCACCCTCTGGTGAGAAAATACCTCAGTCTTGTATCTGACAAGAGATACAAAAACATAGTTTGTTGACTCTTTTTCTTGTCTTTGACATACTTTTGCAGGTGATGCAGCTCTGGAGCAGCTGAGGGAAGAGAAGGAGTTTGCAGAGGGACAGGTAAGACTTGCCGCTAACAGAACTGATCTCATTCTTGGTTTCCAGTTAATGTTTGCACACATGACCCCAGCGTTGTTTAAGAGGAGATATGTGTGATTTTCTCCATCAGATCAACTTCCTGAATAGTGTGATTGTGGACCTGCAGCGGAAGAACGAGGAGCTGAAGATCAAATTGAAGAAGCTTGCTTTGTCTGAGTTCAATGGTAACGACGGGACTGATGGGTAAGAAATATACTGTTAAAAAAATGTAACTAATGAGCACAAACAAATCGTCTAGAATTGATCAGCTAGACTAATTAACTAGTTTTTCAATCAAAAGTGCCAATCAATCTCTCTTGCTTGTGTAGTCAGTTTTCTGCTGTTCTCGCTTATTATAATTGAGCAAAGCTTTTAGTTCAGACAGACAACTGACATTTGAAATGATTCATTAGTGCAGAATAAAAAAGTTAGAATTTGGGCATCTAAGCTCATCACTCCTTGCAGATGTTTTATGTAAGAAGACTGGAGAATGTTTAAAAAAATCCCCTGGAGATGGGAATTTTTCTTCTTAACTAAACCACTAAATATGAAGGTGTGTTTGGCATAAGAGGTGAGAAGAATGAATGTAGTTTGTGTTGGCTCCCTGAATCAGCTTGCAGGCTTCACTCCATTCATGGCAGACCACAGAGTTAAGTGCACAATCAAATATCTCTGTGTTAGTGTTGTTTCTGCGTCATAACCAGGGGTGCACATAAGTGGTCCGCAGGTGCGCATTCGCTGTCAAAATAAAAGACGCGCACCAGACAAGAAGTTGCAACGCACTTATGTGCACCCCTGATCATAACAATTAAAACTGCTCCTGGACCACCAGCGCACTTGACTCATCACATTGTCTATCACTTTCAAGGAAAAAGACTAGGAAAACACTAGTGAAGTATACAATGATACAACATATTCAGATAAAAACCCATGGCCACAGCTTGCGTGTTTTCACTTTTCTCTGTAACGTAGGTTTGATGAAGGCATATCAAAGCGAGAGAAAAAGGCGACCCCGCGTCTCTTCTGTGACATCTGTGACTGCTTTGACCTCCACGACACAGAGGACTGCCCCACTCAGGCTCAGAGCCCCGACTCTGTACCTCACACCACCTACCATGGCAACCCTGCCGTTGAAAGGCCCTACTGTGATATCTGCGAGGCCTTCGGACATGCCACAGAGACCTGCAATGATGATCAGACCTTCTAGAGGCTCCAGGTGTTTTATTCTCCTTCCCCTTCCTTTTGCTTCCTCCCCATAAAAACTTCAGTTACCACCATTTCCTCTCCTGCTCTTTTTTCCCACAGTCCAACCCAACATGTCTGAATATAGCCGCTGCAAATTTTTCCATAATGTATTTTTATACCGTATTTATGCATATCACAAGTAGCCACTGTCCTGGTCTGAATCCTTTACTCTGCAGCTCCATTCTGTGTCATGAAGAATGCTCGTCCAAATACTGTATGCTGCTTTGGTGCAATATTGATGTTAATAACAAAATGAATCCGTCCTTGTCATTTTTAATGTTTGTTTTGCATTTCAGTTTCTCTAAAATAACTTAGGCTGAATTTGTTGATGGTCAGCAAAGGGAAGCACAGTTGAATGAAGGGAAGATGAAGCACCCCTCCACTCTGTTTCACATAGCTCAGTGTGAAGCTAGAAACCAATCACACTGATGCTGCCATAACTTTTTTTTTATGTTTTAATGCAATATTTTGTAAAGCCCTTTTAATAAAAAAGGGAAAAATATTTTTGGGAAAAACTAATTATAATAATAAAACTGAAAAAGTTGTAATGTTTTGGTGGACATATAGGTAAAACAAGAAAAAAAAAATCCATGCACATCCTCACCACTATATGGGGCAGGTGCTGAAGAAATGCATAAATACAAAAAACGAATTAACAGCTGGCGTACTGCAGAATGCCAGCTTTATTTATTTATTGCATATTAATAGTGTGTAGCATACATGCTCTTCATCACACAGTGAAACAGTTCAGTGCCATCTTAAATCACCTGTGATTATACCGCCATCAGGTTACTTTGCCATCAGCAAGTATAAGCAAACTTTTAACGGGGCTCTCTTCATAATTAGATGCAATAAATATAATTAATATTAAATGGCCCAAAGCTCAAAGCACAACAACACATGAATCCTTGAAGAAAACACAGAGATTTCAAAATGATCTAACATGGTAATGCAAGGAATTGTGAAAAAGTAAGAATGTCCATTTCTGAAGTGTGTATGAGCTGGATTCATTTTTTTTTTTCAATATTAAATCTTTGCCGTTAAGTTGCATATCAGTGAAATCCACATTCCTACTTTGACAAGGAAAAGCAGACAAATTTTACTCAACACTTTGTTTCAAGTGCATATATTAAAATAGACATTTGGAATATTATTACTAAATTCTTATAATGGTAATTATCATAGTTAGTATTCTAAAAATACTGCATCACTGTAAAAATTTATTTGTTTGCTCTCAGAATATTACAACTTTTTCAATAAATCATTTGACTTTATTATTTAAAATGTTAAACAGACATTTTTAATGAGGGGATTTCTTTTTTCTTAAATAATTTATTTTCATAATATTGCGTGTATTTTCAAAATCTTATGGTACGTTGTTTTCTTAGACTGTTTCATTTACTTTAGCAAATTAATATTATATTATAATAGTAAGATATTTTTTCTTAACTTTATTCTCATATTCTCACACGACCCCTTATTCTCAAAACATGATCACTTTTATCATAAAATATTATGATAAAAGTGATCATAAAATAATATTATTTCTTGTAATATTTCATATTTTTTCTTAAATTTGTCACAGATTTTCAATTAAAATTGTTCAGTTTAATATTTAAAATAATTTTGACTTCATTTGTTTAAACAAGTTCTAGTAATAACCTAAATGCTGAAAATGTAAATATTTTCTGATATGGATATAGTTCAATCTTGACCTTGGAAATGGTACTTTCCAAAAAATAATAATTTCAGGCCCTTTTTTCAAAGCATGGGTTTACCTTCACACGTACTTTTTTCAGTATAAAGTTTCATTGCTTAACTAAATAACACAATTCTGTCTGTTTAGTAACTGCTGAGCTTTTCATTATAATCTCACATTGTTCTTATTTCTAAGAGATTTTTAAGGACCATTTCCTGAGATGCCTAAAAGTTTACAATTTAAAAGTTGCCTGCAATATTGTGACGAATGGGGAACTTAATCAAAAGCTACTAAACAGATCTCATGGTTAGGTTTCAACAGCTTTTTCCAACATCAGGAATAAACCCATTTTCCTGTTTAGTCTCCCACAGGTTGATATGTTTCAAACGATGCAGTAGAAAGTTACTGAAGGTTAGTAATGAAGTTGCATTTTGTTATTTATTGTATGATCTTTTATTAGCCAGTGACACCCTTAAGGGAAAATAAGCTAGCACTGATTGAAGGTGTATAGTCAGTACTAGGACTACTGTAGTATAGGTGGGCTTTTGAAATGCATCTGCCTAATGTTACAGGAAACTGCCCAAATGAAACTCCAGAAGCCTCTACTAACTTTGACAGCTTTGCACTATCCACTTTAAAGATTCAGTAAATGTACGTCTTCTTCTCAAAGTATTTAAAAGCTATTTTTTCAAGGAGGACGGTGCTGATCATTGAGCACTAACTTTCATGCCGACCTCTTTAAAGGTACTTTTTGCAATCTCCTTCTCTGGCATTTAAGGAAAACTTGGTTAAATGTAGGTTACACTGGGTACCCCTACAAATAGCATTTTTAAGCAGAGGACCAGGGGTTTGAGTCTGCTTTCCTGTCTATTCTCTATACTGTACTAATAGGCTGAAAATGCCCAAAATAGAGTTGTACGTTACACTGACTTGCTACACCACCTTGTTGTGGAAGTTGGTATTACACATAGTGTAGTCCAGCCCTGCTTAAACTTTAGTTCTCTCTTTTTCTCTATTTCGTGAAGAATGATTTCAAAAAAGGAATTTGCAACAAGTACCTTTAAAGCAAAAGTTTGACATTTTAGTAATTCTGCTTTTTCGCTTCGAGAGTTTAATGACACTGACTACTAAAGTCTATTCCAGTTGTATTGTGACTGTTAAAAGTCACAATACAACTGGACTTTACTTTGTCAAATTAACATACATCATTATTTAAAGTTACCTTATGAAAGCCACCTTATTATACACTAAAAACATTTACTGTGAACATAGTTACCACAGAGCTTGTGTAACTCCTGTATAACCTGGTTTCTTACAAAATAATGATAGCCTCAAAATACATCATTAAAGCACACGTTGGCACATATATAGAAATTAAAGGTAATCCTAATATCTGGTGGATTTTGTAATTATAAGCACAATAAACAAAGAAACAGCAGTGATATGGTAGGTACTGAATGGATTTCAATGGATTTCTAAAGTGCGGTCAGCTTAAAGCTACACCAGGTTAGCTTAGCACATATTGAAGAAATATTGGGAAGCATTATAAATCATGTGTTGAACATAAAACAAATTGCCTTTTTTTTTCTTTTCTTTTTTCTTTTTTACATTTTTGTACTATTTAAAGCAACATGATCATAACTGTTTGTGAGCTTTAGAGGTGCTACTACAAGAATGCTAGCTGGCAGAAAGCGACTAAGTGAATTACCTAAATTGCCAAACTATTTCTTTAAATTAACCCTGTATAGCAGTTTTTATTTGATATATCTTATACTAAAGCACAATTTTGGATCATATTGAATCTTCCAGTGTAACAGTGTATAATACATGACTAACCACTGACCCTAGTTTTTGTAAATACTAATCAGAAGTTTCCTTCTGCTAAATGTGTACACAGTGCCATGGAACAAAAAGATAGCTTTTATGTGTACATCTTATTTTTTTTGTCCTGTTGACAAGGCTGACATTCTATAAGGAGGTTTTCACTCAAGGGGAAAATTATTTGTATAGACTTTAAAACATTGTTATAAGTGATGAGTCTAATTATTAGTGTAATGTTTTATATGTAACAATTTCAGGCACCATCTATAAATGGTTTCAAACCGTTTTACAGATGTTAATGTGGTGGAAAATGTCACTGTTTTCTATGTGCTGTATACTCCTGAACAGAACAATACAAATGCTAAGAAAAGAGAAGCTGCTCTCTTGTCCTTTTTTTCCTCTTTACCGGTCAGCCACTGCTCGTCCCAGATGCACTTTTTTCACATTTCAATAGTTGTTTGACAAGAAAAATAAGGAAAGTATATACATAAAAACATCTCTATTGTGAAATTGATATACTTATTTTCCTGTTGTTTTGGTTACATTAGTAGAAATAAAAAATCAACCAGGGCTTCAGTACCTCAGATATTGTGGGAGTGCATGAAAATAGGAGAAATTTGGAACTTGGCAGTGTAATTCACACATGAAAAAGACGTGGCAATCATGTAAAGTAAAACAGCTGAAACCACTCTAAAACGTGCATGTAACTTTTGGGTAAAAGAAATTCAGGCAGTGCGTACGTGCATTAAACCTACATTCTATCTGAAGACCACCAGATGGTGGTAGTTGTGGTTGCATAAATGTTTTGCTTACAGCTGAAGTTTGGTTTTTCTCTTTCTTGTTTGATAACCCAGTTTTGCTTTCTTGATTATAGATATGACTCAGTCTTCATTAGCAGTCAACTTAATAAAATTAATTAGCTGTACTGTAATAGTTGAGCACTGTTCTGTAAGAACTGAGTGGACTAAAGCATTTGTCAAAGTGGCATCTAAGCCTCCACTATTTTTTTTTAATTATTCAGGTAATTTAATGATTACATTAAGTAGAAGTAAAAATTGTGAACGGAAAACTGTTAATTTGAGGCCTCCAAGGGCCCCTCCTGGTATTGGGGCCTTGGGCAGTCAGTCCTACTATTAATATTTTCATGTCTTTGTTCCACTGTAACAAAGGTATGAAAAAAAAAAAGTGTGTCTGAATATGTAGCTCTCACATAGTGGCAAAAATCAGCTAGAAAGCAAGCTGAAACAAGCCACTCAAAAGCAAAAAGCATACTTTGATAAGGCTGCCAATTTCAGATTCGTGCCCTTTTTCTTCTCAACAAACACTGAACATCAACACCCAGAAAATTTTGTGACTTTTATTAAGAAAACAAAACCATTGGACATGATAAAAACCAAGCACTACTGATGGAATAAATAAGTCAAACCAAACCATAAATCTGTACAAGATCTAAAGAAAAACAATATGGTCCCAAGAAAAGAAAAAAAACCCCCAAAACATACAAGATCTTATATCTCACAGCTCTTTTTTTCCATTTTTCTTTTTTTTTACAGTTATGAGCAAACTATAAGCAATTGGCTCGATCAGATGAAAGCTACAACATAAGTGAGATTTTTTTTTCTTAAACTGAGTGTACATAATGCTGTTTATAACTGTTAATGTCAATACAATAGCATTTTAAGTTCCAGCGCTGCTGGACTGGGAATGAGGTATATGCTAATCCGTCCTCTATACCAAGACTTTTTTTTTTAAGTTTCTTTTCTCTCCATCCATGTGAATGCTGATTTGCTGAAATCTGATCAAGTAATTCTGCATCATAAAGCCCCTGTTATGTTATGAAATCATTGATTTGTGGTGAGTCAATTCATTTCAATCCAAATTGACAAGGAAATCTCAATTAATGAAAGTAAATCTTAGATGTGTGAGGTTGTACATTAGAGGTCACAGGCCTGAATCCACACAACAAAGTTCAAGTAAATTGCACAACTTTGCACAAAACCAAGAGCTTGATGCCACGTGTGTATGGATTCAGCCAACAGACAGCACCTTGAAGGAGGATTAGAACCAATGTTTGAGCTAAAAGACTTTAGTAGGTCATAGAGAAGTAGTGATACACAGAAGACTTACACAGAGGAGAAGTGATTAAATGGTGGAGCAGGTGGGAAAACCGGTCCCGGAAATTGGTCAATTTCTACTTACAGGTGCTAAAAGAAAAACAAACAAACACCTGAAGTAGACAAAGACCAACAACTGGTGATCTGACTGAAGTTTACAAATTGTAACATTTTCACAAGACAAAACTAAATTAACTTCTGGGTAGTGTTCAAATTCCAGTCTCCAACTGTTTAAAGGAATAACACGTCAATTTGCTTCCTTGCAGAGAGTTTTATGATAATGCGATATAACGCTATTACATGGCAGGAGACAGTTAGACACTTTCTTATGTGCCAAGAAGTAATGAGGGACTTCGTCTCTTTCTTCATCTCATTCTAGTATAAAAGTAAAAATAATAATTGTAAATAAATAATAAATAGCATGTTAACATGTAAGCTAGTTTCACCTACTAATATCTCCAAAGCTTTTGGACAAAAAAAACAACAAAAAACAAATCTAAAACTTAAGTCGTGTCATTCACAGGGAGTTATGTGCCAGACTGTCTTTGACAGAAGCTGTGACCCCCTAGAGAAAAATTCACAAAAGTAAACTAACCAAAATCAAATATTATTTCTGCTAGGCTAGCTTCTCCCTCTGCCACTTCCTGTCCCGTCCTACTTTGGGCAACACCCATCAAGGAAATTTAACCTAGTGGATTTGTGTGTTGCTGCAACATTACAGGTGTTCCTAGTTCTTATTTGACTGATTTTAGACCAACCCAGGCCAGCCGTTTCCCTTTCTTTCCAGCTTTTATACCAAGCTAAGCTAACTAATGCCTGGCTGTGACAATGCCATATTTTTTGTTTGACTCTCTGCAAGAAAGCAAATATTTCCCAAAATGTTCATCTATTCCTTTAAATGAAAAACAGTTGTAGGTAAAAAATAAATATCGGCTAAAACTATTTAGTGATAATTGTAAGGCAAAAAACAAAACAAAACATGGCACCAAAATTGTAATTCAAAACCTGCTTGACCTAAAACGTGTATTTAATCGTAGCAACTCAAGGCACACCTCCAGGACCTACGCTAGCTATGCCTGTTTTTACTACTTAACCAAGAGTGTATCTCAACCAGTACCGTTGTCATATTCTTCCTCTACGAACCATAAACAAACTCTCTTTGAAAGCAAAAAAACCAAAAACATATGTCAATGGTGAACTTTTCATGGATAGAGAAAAAAGACATCCACTACAGCAGCAAATCTATCTGTGATCGATTGTGACATACCATAACAGTGCATTGACCCTCCTGAGAAAAAAACCCTAAACACTTCCTAAACAAATATAGAACATTAGTCTAACAGGAGGCGCATCGGGAGGATTGAAGTGACGTGGTCCTAGGGTGGAGGTTCCCCCCGCAGCCGCTGATCTGAGACCAGGCTAACCTCTTCAGTTATCCTGAGCTAAACCCTTAGCAGTGAAACGTTTAAAAAATGGTCTCAGAGCAGTGTCTGCGATTGACCTCATCCTAATCCCAGTGTTAACTCTTTTAGTCACAGAAGCAGGTCAGTGTTTGTCATCTGGCCTGGTGGTGGCTTGGCTGACAGCGCTGCCCCTGTTCACAGAGGGGGTTGCAGCCCAGGTTCGGCGTGTCTCTTGGCATTAGTGAAAAGTGTGGAGGACTGGAAGGAAGCACGGAGGGGGACCAGTGAACAGAGGTAATATCCATTCTCCCTCTGTGACAGGGGAGTGTCAGGGGCAAAGATGACAAACTGGAGGGGAAGCAGCCATTAGGGTGAAAGTGAGAGAGGAAGGGTGGGAGACGTCCATTATCCCTTTTAGTTTAGGTAGAAAGAAGAAGGTGAGGGAAGAAAAATAGGAGTGAGAGGAGAGCCAGTATGTCCATTAGCCCTAAATTATCTAGAGTTAATGGAGGAAGGACAAAGGGAAAGAGACAGGAGGCTGAAGAAGAGTAATGACTCAGCCCCAAACATTTAACTCTCCTCAAAGTCCTGAGATGAGGACTCCAGTTTGTTTTTCTTGCTGGGCGGGGCTTCATCCTCTAGGTCCTACAGGCAAGAAAAAAAAAAGAAAATATTGAGGATTGTTCTGGACTAATAAATAGTAATATGATAGACTGTATATAAAGGATATCTTCTGGGTCTGAGAAGCGAAGCTAACGTGGATGTACTTTCTTCTTCTTTCAGCTGCTCCCTCTAGGGGTTACAACAGCAGATCATACGACACCGATTCAAATTTTATAGACAGATGTGTTCATACCTGAGTGGCTTTGCTGTCTAAAGAGTCCTTCTCCCCTGAGGACAGGCTGTCTCTCTTGGCACTTTGTGCTCTCTCTGAGGTCTCTGATGAAGGGATGCTCTTACCTGGAGATTGTTAAGACATGGTCACAGAGATGAACTGCCAAAAACACCCTCAAATTTATCTACAGTTTTCACTTTTGGTCACTGAGTTACACCAATTCTTTTCAGATGTTCTTGTTCTGTTAAAATGATGGCATTTTGCTTCCAGGACACTGGTTTAGACTTGTTCAATCGTATCAGGAAGAAAAAAGGTTCTTCTACTGACAAGATACAACACTTACTGATTTTTAAAGTTGATTATTTACCATCCTAAATACTGGTGTTCAACAAATTTCCGAAGCATTTAAAAAAAATGCTTGTGGGGTTTTCTTTAAAATCACAACAAAGCCAAACTAGACTCCACATTTAACCACATATGCTCTGAATTATTTTCATGAGTAAATAGATTCTGCTTTTAACTTGTTTATTAAAGACAATTGGAATAAGAAGTCTGAATAAGTGTGTGTTTGGCATTTTTTCTTGAAGCTTATTTATGATCAATTCAGAAACAATTGGTTTGATTAATGTTATGGTTGCAAGACTATAGACACACACTGACACACTCATTGGCCTGTTTATCGCATTCTAGGATTTATTTCTTGTGATGTTTTTACTTCTGTGGTCCATAATTGAATGATGAATTGGATGATGAATGAACTATTCTTTAAAAAGAAGTATAACATGTTTAATCTTTGCTTATTGTGCACTCAGTTCAAATTCATGGTGCAACATTTCCAGGTTCAATCCCCACAAGACTGCTGCTGTGAGGAGTACATTGAGATATTCAAAAATATAATATGTAAGTTAGAATGTGAATGTATGAGAGGGGGTTTTGGCATTAAGATGAATTGAGGGTGGCAGTAAAAGATGGTTGACGGTTAAAGTCCCGGGGGGAACAGCACGGCAGCTGCACTGTG